ATATATTGCGTTATTGTGCAATTTCAGATAAAATATGAAGTTAAAACAGAAACAGTTACTCGCATCTTTCTTACTATGTGTAACTGCAATTATTTTACATAAAACAAAGAAAAAAAAACATAAGAGGTGGGTTAACAGGCGATGGCACGTTAGACCTATTAATAAAAATCGAGAACATCAAGGAGAGTATAATAATTTATTTCATGAACTGAAGAAGTCGAAAGATAAACGTATGTTTTTCGAGTACAGTAGAATGACATTTTCTCACTTTGACCAGTTGGTACAGTTAACAAAGCCTCACCTCACCAAGAAGAGCCAGAGAGCTCTAGCGCCTCAAGAAAGACTAGTTATTGCTCTAAGGTAACTTGTAATATTGTATTTATTTATATTAGCGTGATTACACTTATATGTAACAAAATTAAATATTTTTGAAATTTAGTTCTTACAGTACATTAAAAATAATTTACTTATCAAATATTCATCATTCTACTATATTGTATTTCAATACTGTAAATGTACATACATACAATAATTGTATGGGTTTACACTGTTTACAGATATCTTGTGACTGGGAACTGTATAAGTTCCATCGCATTCTCCTTCCGTGTAGGTCAGTCTACTGTAAGAAATATAATAAAAGAAGTCTGTTATGTGCTTTCTAACGTTTTGAGCCCTTTGTATTTGACAGTCCCAACACAAGAAGAGTGGAAATTAATGGTTGATGGATTTTGGGACAGATGGCAAATGCCAAACTGTTTTGGAGCAATAGACGGGAAGCATATTAGAATAAAGTGCCTACCAAATTCTGGCAGTTGCTATTTTAATTATAAAAAATATTTTAGTATAGTGTTATTGGCTATTTGTGATCATCTATATAGATTTCAATTAGTAGACATTGGAGCCTACGGAGGAAATAGCGATGGTGGAATATTTGACGCTTCAATTATTGGTCAAAGCATAAAAAATGACCAGTTAAATTTGCCAAAAGATAATGCCAAACTTCCTGGTACTGATATTAGCTTACCAGGATTTTTCATAGGAGATGCTGCTTTTCCATTAACAAGAAGAATGATGAAACCATACTCTACTTCTAATTTGACCATTGCACAAAGAATTTTTAACTACAGACACTCTAGAGCTAGACGCACAATTGAAACTGCCTTCGGCATTCTAGCAAATCGGTGGCAAATATTCCATAAATCTATTTGTATGCTGCCAAAAACAGCAGACAAAGTAACGTTGGCATCAGTATGTCTACACAACTATTTGATGTATGAAGAGCAAAAGGATGGTGCTAAAGCATATAGTCAAGAAATTAATGGAACCGATACATGTTGGTCCCCTGTAATGGTTGAAGGTGAGCAAGCAAATACACCAGCAGTCACTCAACGAGATATTTTATGTGATTATTTCGTTTCTCCGGTTGGAGAAGTAAACTTCCAATATGACTATATAACTAGAGGTACTTACGGTGAATAAAATTCATCAGGATCAATATCAAAGGTATATTATCTGAAGTACATATCGTGGTTTATAACTACACTAAAATTAAAATTACTATATATACAAACACTTATAATTAACAATTTTTTGCAGGTTTAGATTGATATTTTAATCCAAAATTAATCTCGGGTACAATAATTCCAGTAATTCTTGTGACAGTGATGTCTGAAACAAAGAAATGTAGAACTGTGATTATAATTAAATATATATAGAATGCTATGGATATTTGAATATAAAGAAAAAAGAAGGATGAATTTTTAATTGTACCAA